TGTCATACATCATTCGTGGAGCATGCGTAACCAGAGAGCTTCACAAATTCTCATGGACATGGACCGAAATTCTGCTTTCGTACTGCTCTAAGCAAGTACAGATTGCTTCTTGTTTTTCCACGTGACCAAATTTTCCCACACAAATGAGCAGTACCCTGAGGTAGATCATCGATCATGAACGGATCTAGCCAAATCTGCGTCTTTGTAAACGACAATAGAACAGGAAGTGTGAAAGGAAAAAAATTAAACATGAGCCCGGTGTGCCTTTTGAATAGTGGAGAATCTGGTGGATAGCTTGGAGGTGGTGCTCATAGGGATCATGCATTAATCGACTGACTATCCTAATTGCGTGGCATATGTCGGGGCGTGTATGGTTAAGATAGTGAACACCGCCCAACATAACGACATACATTTTATAAATCTGACCAGCTAAATTCATTCAATCAATGCAAAGTTTTAAATGAATAAAGTTGTACATGCAAAAAATTACATGTAGCATACGCTTGATAAGATGAATCTCAATGGATCTATTTCTGCAGATGTAGATTAAGACGATTCATGTAAAAGAATTCTAAGGAGCCACACAACATTGATTCTACATATTTTAATGTGATTACTTTAAAAGAAAATTTTAGCCAGATTTACATTAATAAGAAAACCATATTTGAAAAAGGCTTCTTTTATTTGTTTAGAATTTTTTTAATTTTTAGTAAATGAAAATAACATTTTATTTAAAAGGTTAACTCATATTTATCTAATGTTTAATAATGGATGTTTAAGTCACAAGGAGAATTGAAATTTCTTCCAAAAGTATAACTTACCTAAGTTATCTCAATTGAATCTACACCATAAGAAAAAAAAAATTGCAAATTATCTAAATAAATATAAGAAAAATGATAGAAATGGAAATATTCACCATATTTTTTAAGAGAGAGACAAGTGGCTAGGGAGAATATGCGGTGGTGTGAGGGAGAAGAGCTAGCGATGGCGGATGGGAGAACAGGCGACAACAGCTCAATGGAGAAGAGGAGGTATTGCAATGGAGAATAGGCACAAGAGAGGAACTTGGGGGAGGGGCAGGGAGTGGGGGTGGGAACCCCATTGGAAAGGAAGGTTATTGGTGTGAGCATTTATCAACAAAAATTCCATTGCAAATCTGCCAATATTTTAAATTTTTTTTTGTAATGACGACGCATGTACTACAATGATTCCTAGGGTAAAGTAATTTGGAGCATAACTGAATAACTTTTTTATGAATGAAAAACCTAAGATTTGGGATGTTAGAATATAACCCAAGGTAATTCTTTTTTATGCAGAGAGGGGTATAAATACTCATTACAGGTTCTACTAGTAAGGAAACAAATAAAAACATAATAAAGGGAAAAATGAAAGTAAATAAAAAGTAAATCAAAACAAGAAATCTGCATATTAATCTTCTAATATACTAATACTCCCCCTCAATTTAAGTATATATATCAGTCATATTCAACTTGGATTTAAAATCATTGAACAGTGGTCATGGAAGGTTTTTTGTGAGAATATCTATTAGTTGACCACTAGATAACACAAACGGCACACAAATTTCCTAGGACTCGACTTTTTCCTTAATTAAGTGACGGTCAATCTCAACATGCTTGGTTCGATCATACCGGACCAGGTTGTGAGCAATGCTAATGACAGTCTTGTTATCACAGAACAACTGTAGAGGAGCGAAAACTGTCATACATCATTCGTGGAGCATGCGTAACCAGAGAGCTTCACAAATTCTCATGGACATGGACCGAAATTCTGCTTTCGTACTGCTCTAAGCAAGTACAGATTGCTTCTTGTTTTTCCACGTGACCAAATTTTCCCACACAAATGAGCAGTACCCTGAGGTAGATCATCGATCATGAACGGATCTAGCCAAATCTGCGTCTTTGTAAACGACAATAGAACAGGAAGTGTGAAAGGAAAAAAATTAAACATGAGCCCGGTGTGCCTTTTGAATAGTGGAGAATCTGGTGGATAGCTTGGAGGTGGTGCTCATAGGGATCATGCATTAATCGACTGACTATCCTAATTGCGTGGCATATGTCGGGGCGTGTATGGTTAAGATAGTTGAGTTTCCCCACAAGACGTTGGTAGTGAGTCTTGTTTACAGGAACTGCATTGGGAACATCCAAAAGTTTTTCATTGGGATCCATCGGGACAGCAATTGGTTTGCATAGAAGAAGATTATTTTCTGTCAAAAGTTCAATCATATATTTTCGTTGAGGCAGGCATATAGTCTGAGATGACCAAACAATTTACATGCCTAAGAAGTACCGGAGATATCCCAAATCCTTCATTTCAAAGGAAGCAACAAGAATGTCTTTCAAAGACTCTAATGCTGGTAGATCATTACCTGTGAGAACAATATCGTCTACATAGACAATAAGGATAGCTACTTGGCCACTGGAGGAATGTCGAAAGAAGAGTGGTCCGATTGAGCCTGAGTGAATTCATGACTTACCATATTCTTTGTGAATTTCCCAAACCATGCCCTTGGTGATTGCTTCAATTGATAAAGAGATTTTCACAATCTACATACTTGCCCCTGGGAGGCAGTGGAGTCAAATCCTGGAGGAAGAGCCATGTATACCTCCTCTGTAAGATCGCTTTGTAAGAATGCCGTTCAAGAACACATTCTTGACATCAAGCTGGAATAAGGGTCAATCCAGATTCATTGCAAGGGATAAGAGGACTTGAATGGTGTTTAATTTAGCAACTGGAGCAAATGTCTCCTCATAGTCAACTCCGTAGGTCTGTGAGTACCCTTTGACGACTAACCGTGTCTTGTTACGTTCAAAAGATCCATCAGAATTAAAATTGATGCTAAAAATCCATCAGCCTTCCATTGCTTTCTTGCCCGGAGGAAGATCAACAATGTCCGAAGTATGATTCCGCTGAAGGGCGTTCATCTACTCCACGACGGGAGCTTTCCAGGTTGGGTTTGCTAAGGCAACCTCAATAGTAAATGGAAGCTGTGATTAATCAGGGTCGTAGAAAATGCTCTATAGGTTGGTGATAATCAGGAGCAACCTCAATAGCGGTTAGTGAGCTCTAGAGTAGATGTAGTAGAACGAGTGTGCCGAGTGTAGAAACAACAAGTGGGAGGATGTGCTGGTGGAACAAAAGGGATAAAGGACTCCTTGGTGGCAGGAGAATTGGGTGAAGCCAAAGGGACAAAGGGTTCCTCGATGTTAGTTGACGTGAGGGGAATATCCATAGGAGTTGGATAAGGAACAATGTGCAAGGATTCTAGCTCCTCATTGGAGGCCAAGTTCAGGAAGTATGGAACACTAAAAAAAATACATCAGCACTCACATAGATCTTATTTGTGGTAGGGTTAAGACACTGATACTCTTTTTTAGTGACAGAGTATTCGAGAAAGACAATTTATGGACCTAGGATCAAGTTTAATCCGATTTGGGACTGTGCTCTGAACAAAGGATGTGCGCCCAAAAACTTTGGGATCTAAAGTGGAGAACACCCGATTGTTAGGAAAATACGATCTCGAGATGGATAAAGGTGTACAGAAGTTGTGAAATTTTGGGGGAACTTTATTGATGAGATAAGTGGCGGTAAAAATGACATCATTCTAGAAACGTTTTAGAACATTAGAGTGAAACATAATTGAGCTAGTAACGTCAGGGAGATATCGGTTTTTTCTCTCGGCCACCCCATTTTGTTGCGTGTCGGTATATGAATGTAAAAAATGCTCGTTGTTTCGCGAACAACTCATGTTCGATTAGTTCGTTAAGTAAACGAGTCGAACACGAACAATTTTTTTAAGCTCGAAGTATAAGCGAACCGAACACAAACAACGCTTTGTTCACTCGTGTTCGGCTCATTTAGCTCGAAGTCAAAAAATCATATAATTATTTATATAATATATTATTATATATATTTATATCTAAGTTAAATCATAACAGCTCGTGTGGTAATGTGATTACGTGTCTTCTTTTACATAGATTTGGTCCGGATCGAATCCAACACTCAACATCTATTTTTTTTGAATTAATTTTAACGAGTCAATTTCGAGCCGAACAGGAGCCGAACATGGACAAAAATATTTAAAACGAGCTGAATACGAACACACTATTCACGAGCCAATTTCAAATACGAGCCGATTTCGAACTAGAGCAATTTCGAACGAGCTAAACACAAGCCAGGTCTGAGCTCGCTTAAGCTCGGCTTGTTTGCAGCCTTATATATGAGCTATGATGGAGGATGCCTTATAAAAAAATTCTCTTAATATATTGTTAAAAAATTCACGACGATTAACGATCTGAAGGACTTGAATAGAAATTTTGAATTGGGTCAAAATGAAGGTATGAAAGTTTTGAAAGTGACAACTTCTTCTGATTTATCTTTTAAAATATAGACCAATGTCACCCGATTGTGGTCATCAATTAAAGTAAGGAACCACCATTTATTGGTGTAGTTTGGAGTGTGAGAGGATCCCCATAAGTGATTGTGAATAATAGAGAAAGGAGTGAAAAGTGTGTAATTGTGGGGTGGATAAGGAACACGATGTTTTAGCTAACTGACAGGTTTCACATTTGAAATTAGAAGGATTTTCATCGTTAAAAATCACCATATACAATTGTTTTAGATATTGGAAATTAGGATGACTCAAATGACAGTGTAACAACATAATAGGACATTCAGTGAACTAAGATAAGCTGCAATTACTAGTTGGAGTGTCCTTGTTCTTTGTGTTTTTCTCTTGGAAGAAGTGAGCCCGCTAACCCGTTTAGCAGTTCCAATCATCCTCCCCAAACGACGTTCCTAAAAGACAGACATCAGAAAAAAATGAGCATCACAATCAATGCCATATTCCATTCTTACGTATTGTTATGTGCTCTTGTCCATCTAATGGCTCCCTGTTTTTAAGGGCCCACCTTCAAATAATTTTGATTGGGATACTCTTAATTTTTGCAATATGTTGAACTGAAATGCTTTATTGTTCGCAGGCTCTATCTGTTCCTACTATTGCTGTTATTGAAGGAGCAGCATTGGGTGGTGGGCTAGAAATGGCTCTTTCGTGTGATCTTCGAATATGCGGTACAATTACTTTTATCCAATTTCACATATAATTTTATTTTCTGGGGCCAGAATTCACATATTCTTGTAATTGCAATACTTGAATAAACATTGGTTATATTTCCACATCAGGGGAGGATGCTGTATTTTGCATGCCGGAAACTGGACTTGCAATAATTCCCGGGTAAGCTTCCATTTGGGCCATATATTAGAAAACATTTTTGCAACCTCAATTCATTGCTTAAGTGAGCATATTGATTAAGATAGAACAAAAGCCATAAATAGTCTCTTGACTATCTACAAGTGATCAATTTAGTCTTTGAGTTTTAAAGTACTCCATTTTAGTCTCAAACTATTAAAAATTGATCCAAATTAGTTGATACGTTGAATTTCATGGTTGCAGTTAACACCAACCATTAACTTAGAGGATAGTTTAGGAATAAGAATTTTAAATGAAATTTTATTTTCATTATTTCTCTATTTTCATATGAAATAAAATATTTAAAATATTTTTCTATTATGTAAGGTATTTTATAGTTACTCTATAACTATTTCTACTCTAGGCTTATATTGATTCTATTGATAAAGTAGATTCCTTAAGGATGGATGGCTCTATTTGGTTATTCATGAAATAAAGGTTTACCCTTATTCATAAATTTAAATAATTAGTATTGTGCAAATAAGGTTCCTGAGAGATTACAAATCATCATGTGCAAAGATTCATAGAAGCTATAGAAGTAAACATGAATGATTTATGATAGCTAATTTCTGCAGCCTTCAAGGAAGAAAGCATTGGAATAGCAAGTTGCCTTTCATTTATTTCTTTTGCAAACATAATCATCATCCTGATGTTTGGTCTCCTTTTGGTTTTACTATTTAGGCTTTGATTATTTTCTGTAGCCATGCTTAAAAAATTTTGCCTACATTATTTTATTGATATTTCTGCTTTTCTTTCAAGGTATCTAACACTTCTTTGTGTTGCCTGTCTTTCAAGTAGTATGAGCATATTGTTTAAATTATTCCATAATTTCTTATATATTGTTAAACACCCATATTGCTATCGATTGTCATGTTGGATCCCAATATAGTGATATTAGATCTAAATTGTTTTTATAGGTGGCACCAAAATTTTTCCGCAAAAATAGACGAAGCTAAGGAGAAAAAAGAGGGGGGGGGGGTGTGGGGGGTGGGGGGAGTAATATAGAGAGTGAAACTTAGATATTTCACTAAATTGGAAGAAATTGCAGGATTGATGTGGCTGACTCTGAGGGTCTGTTTGGCGCAGCTGTTGATTATTTATAATCTGCTGATAAGTAATCTGCTGATAAGTGATAAGTAGATTATTCTGATAATCTGCAAATTATCAGAATAAGCTGGCTTGCTGTTTGGGGGAGCTTATTGATAATTGTTGTTGGATAAATGACCATTATGTCTCTGTTTGGTGAAACTGTTTATAACAGAACTGTATGTAATCATTTAATTTTTTTATAAACTATTAACTTATTAGCTAATAAATTTTGATTAATCAATTATTAATTACATAAATGAAGAATTTCTTAAAAATTTATTAAATAACTTAAAATTTTGATATATTTTTATTTATTAATCAAATATTAAGTAATTACATACGAATTTATCTATTATAATTAAATTGATGATATACAAATTAATTATAGATTCTTAAATTAATTATAATTAAAATTTTGATATAATTAATTATAGATTTTTAAAATTATGATATAATTAATTATGATATATAAAATTATTTTCTCAAAACTTCCCATCTTTGCCCCAAACCCTCGCTTATGTCACTCCCCCTCCCAGTTTCGCCCAAAACAATCGCCTTCGTGAACGAACCTTCACATACAGTCTCCATTAGAGCGAGTTGGGAAGGCAACGACGGGATCGCGATTTACAGTGACTATCGGAACTACCGTCTCTCTCCTTCCGATCCGCTCCTACCAGAAACCAGAAACCAGAAACCATCGAGCATCGAGGAAGGTAATTCTGTTTGCGCCATTCAGGAAACCAAAACTTTCTCTTCGCTTGGTGAAAGGGCCACCCCATGCCCAAGAGACTAAGGAATCAGCGAGGGCGAGGGCGAGGGGGTACTGGAGAAATTTTTCATGCTAACACGGGAAGCAGATGCAGGACGCGGCTCCTTCCTCGCTTCGCCTTCTATTAAGGAAATCTCGTAAGTGCGTCCGAGCGGCAGCAATAATCTACACCGAACGTATTTTTCAAACACCTGTACGATGTTTTCATACCGCCACTGCACTCCAATAAGCGGCCCCAAACGGGCTCTGAGGCTCACCCTTTTGCACCTCAAATTGTAGGTTTGGATCAAAGCATAGGGCCACAAGGAATATGCTTTAGTACAATTGAAATTATATATTAAAGCTTAACAATGTACTTGTAGTAAAATTAATGAGTATTTTTCACTTCTAGCCGATCAAAGTGCATAGAAAACCCATGGCGATTTTTAAGTATGAGGCTTGTTAAGTTCATTTAGGGTTACAAGTAGCTTTAGATGATTAGTGAATTCAATTGATTTGTTCAATGGACGAGTTAAACCTTTTTTGTTGGAAGGCTTTAATTGTCAAGTTTAATTGACAACTTGAACTCTTTTTTGGATACTTCAATTGACAAGTTTAATGGACTAGTTAAACTCTTCTTTAAATAACTTCAATTTGATGGCATAAATTGACGAATTCAATGGAGAAATTGAACTCTTCCTTGGGCAACTTCAATCTTCAGCCTTATTGTGTGAGTTAAATTCTTACTTACACAACTTTAATTTTTGGTGTGCTCATTGGACAGGTTGAACTCTTCTTTGAACAACTTCAATGGATGAGTTTGGATCATTTGACGGCTTGGACTAGTTGAGGGTCTGATATTGGAACAAGTTGGAACTTAGTAGAAACTCAAAAGCAAACTTTTATTAACATAGAAATAGTGCTACAACACGACACAACTGGAAAGTACAATACAAAGATACTAAGCTCCTGCTAAGGCCGGAAGAGAGGACTCGGGACAGTGGTGGCGTTAGCGAAGTAGTACGGGGACGAGGAAGGGTTGGAGGCAGCGGGGTAGGTTAGAACAGGGGATTTAGAAGGAGGGGTGGTGGCTGATTTGATGTTTGGAGGAGTGGGGCGATAGGAAAAGTGGTGGGAAAAGCATGGGAAGGTGTTGGGTGCTGGTGGGGGTGACCCGGACATCAAGGAGGGCTGCCTGGAGTGGCCGACAGAATGCAGGTTGGTGGCTGGAGAGCTGGACAGAAAGCTACGGCGGCTGGGGAAGGGAGAATAGGGTGCTGGTAGGTGGATGGGAGGGCCGGAAGTGGGCGGTAGTGCGCAGGGAGGATGTGTTGGGGGTGGCTGGCGGCTAGGGAGATGGGAACGGGAGGATTGGAGAAGGGATTTGAGGAAGACACGCACCGTCTCTGAGTAGGATACAGCCGGAGCACTGCCACCTCCTCGAATAGAGCCCTAGAATAGGGAGAGCAACTTCACACATGAATCTGGAATCTAAAAACAACAAAAATTGAACCCTATAATCAGAAAATGACAATTTATATACTCCTATTAGAGAAGAAAAGAAAAGAAATAAGGAAGTAAGCTCCCACACAAAAGGAAGGAGGTGTGGGTGCAAGAATAGCCATTAAAATCTTTCCATATGGAGTAGAGCACATAAGGAAGGGGATAGGAGGGGCGATAGTCCTACCTCGTATAGAATTGTGAGAACTCCGACTCGGTCCACTAGACCAGTTGATTCTGCAGTAGTTATTGCTAGCTGGCTGAACTGGCTGGCCTATGTAGTGCCCGCGTCAGGATCTTTTATTTAAGGCAGCTTATTTTGAGTTGAGTTCGGGGTCTCTAGCTACCGCAAGTCTATAAGATGAGTTTAGGGTTGCATCTTAACTTGATTAACCTAACAAAAATGTTCATGGCTTTACAAGTCATGTAATTTTATTTTGTATAGCCTTTAATGGCATATTTTGCTAACCTCTCCATCTGCCACCCACTCATAGAGCTGGCGGAACCCAACGTCTTCCTAGGATTGTTGGAAGATCCTTAGCGAAAGAACTTATATACACTGCTCGGAGATTTGGTGGACGGGAAGCTTTGACTATGGGTTAGTATTGCTAGCTATTTCACCATTTCCTCCATTTATGAACGAAAAAAGTGTTAAAATAGGCCCCCTAATATGGACTGAAATAATCCTCATGAAAGACTATTTTAGACTCATGAATGACTATTTTAGCCTTAACTTAAAAAATATGTGGACTACGTTGGGGCTAAAATTGCCCCCATATAAGTAGTCAGGGACTATTTTTGCACTTCACTCTTCTTTGAACGGTCAAAACAAGCAATTTCTTTAGCCATATACGTCTTATTCTGCTGCAGGCCTTGCGAATTACTGCGTTCAAGCGGGAGAAGCCTATTCCAAGGCTCTTCAAATTGCCAGAGACATAAATGAAAAGGTCAGCTATATCAGAGCATAAATTTTTGTTTAAAAGGTATCTTGATAAAAAATTGATCAGGGTGAATTTTATAGCCTTTTAAGATGAGTGCAGGTTATGAATTATCACTCAAAATTCAATGGGTCATTTACATACATACCTCACAATTCTGATGTATTTAAATATCTAACATCCAAACTCTAATGTTTGCATGCATAGCACTGCATTCTTTATTATCACATAAAAAATGCCACCATCACCTACTTTTAAAAGGTAAATACACATTTTTATGCATAGGTTTCTCTCACCATTTTACAAATGTAAATATAAAAGAATTGTGCATTATATATGTAAATTTTCCAAATTTAATTTATATCGCATTCATCTCCAAAAAAATACAAATATTTTGAAACCCATCCCACACCATTTTTTTCGTTGGGGCATTTACATATCTTGTTTATTTACATATCTAACACCTAAACAGTCATATTTACATGCATACCACTCAAATCTTTAATTTCACATCAAGAAAAACACCTCTATACTCCATCAGTCTTCTTAAACGTGAAATACAGTTTATTTATGCATAACAAAGATGTTATGAGTGTAAATATCAAACTTTGCATGGTAGATATGTTAATATATGAGAATTGTGAAGCATTTATGTAAATTTTCCTTCTTTGAGTGTAAGTAAACAGAAGTTTGGTGCAGGGTCCACTGGCTATAAAGATGGCTAAAAAGGCTATTGATGAAGGAATGCTACAGGGGGATTTATCTTCAGCAATGTCAGTTGAGAGAGAATGCTATGAGAAGCTTCTTTACTCGCAGGATCGCCTTGAAGGATTAGCAGCATTTGCTGAAAAGCGAAAACCTATATATGCTGGCAAATAATAAGGTAATTACTCTTCACCTGAAGTGCTTCTTTTTCCAGATTTACATTTTTCATTCAGGACACTCAATTCTTGTCTATTTACATATCTAACACCTAAACATTCATATTTACACGCATACCACTCGAATATTTAACATCACATCAAAAATATCATTATCACCATCTTTTTTAGTGAAAATATTTTTTCGTCCATGGATTTATGGTGGAAGTGTAAATATCAAGCTTTGGGGGTGAAATATATAAATACATAAAAATTGTGTGGTAAGTATGTAAATTTTGCTTTTCACGATTTATATTTAAATGACTCTGAAAAGAAGTGTTAATTTGTCTTCGAATCTGTCGTTTTAAATTGTGCTAAGCCTATATTGGGATAGATATTTATGTTCATTCTTATACAAAATAGTGCTCGCATGTTAATGCAAATTGTTTTCCTAAATTTTACTTTTTACATTTATACCATCCAAATCTTTCATATTTAATAAAAAATAATCGCCATTTAAACTTTTAAATACATCTTTTATGCATAGATAAGGTGTCATATATATATATATATGTTAAAAATGAACTTTAGGTGTTAGATATGAAAATAAAGAGGAATTAAGTGATATGTATGTAAATCTTCCTAAAATCAAACAAAATAAGCTCTGAATTAGAAATAATACCGGACTTACCTTCATTATGTTGAAGTCTGAGTTGGATATGTAAATACAGAGGAATTGAGTGGTTTTTCTGTAAATCTTCCTTAATTTTGATCTTAAATTTAAAGGTCTTAAATGTTGAGTATATTTAAAAGAAAATTTTATAATTTTAAGATTTAAAAAAAAATTGCATTTTCTCTGCGTCAAAATGTAAGTACTGTTATATTATCCGATCAGATTCACAAGCTACTGGTGCTACCTAATGAAATCAAGTGCATTATTTCTTTGGGGCAATTACTTGCATAGCACCTGAAACATTGCTAATTCAGATTCCAAATTCTCACTGAAAAGTCAAAATTCATCATAAAATTTTGACCTTTATTTTTTAATTTTATCAAATTGTCAATGATTTGATTGTCTCGCAAATATATCTGTGGTTAATAAAAAATATCACCAGATGTTAGATTTTGTAAATACTAAATTTTGAGTGCTATGTATGTAATTATCCCTATTTCTTATCTATAATCTGTCAAAACCCCATTTTTTTACTCTTTATTTGAAGACAATGCTTCACTTTTTAATTTCCCCATGTTTTTTATAACACCATGTTTTTCAGGACCCTGTAAACCCTACGAGATCAGACTCAAGGGAGATTAGAGGTACAGATAAATGAGTTCATTCACTCATCTCATTCTTAAAAATAAATAGTTATATATATATATATAATATGTATATGTATGTATATGATATGTATGTATACATATGTATATGTATGTATGTATTAGCCAGTTTGGGCCGTACTAATGGAGTTTGTTAAGTGTAATTTGATTGATTTTGGATAGACATTCTTTCTATCAAAGAATTTGGACGAATTAATTTCTCTTCGACTATCTTGACAGTTAATGAAGTTATCAAATATTAACTATAACCATTCAATTCGTTTTGAATAATAACGATTATTTTTTTCCCTTCAAATTTAAATTAGTTTATATCACTAATTACTACAAAATTCCTGCACAAAATCATGGACTTTATGCCGCCTTTATATTATAGGTTAGAGGTATATCATATTTTGTTTCTTCAATAAAAATACTTATTTCGCCTTCAGAATAACATTTCAAATGATTATAATTATGCAACATTGATTTGAAGGCCTGTATGATAGACACCTGTCCTTTTAAAACCCTAATAATAACACAAATACTTTCACCCTAAACATCAAATAAAATAAAATAAAATTTGTGCTGCATTCTTGTGTATTCAAATAGCTACGCCTAAACTTAATTTTTTTTTACATTTATATAATTTTACCTATACACTAAAAGCATTTATTTCACTTTTAAAAAATTAAAATAATTGTTACTTTTTGTGATATGAAAATTTTAGTCACTATAAATGTAAAAAAAATAAAGTTGAGGTGTTAGATATCTATATGCAAGAATAGGGTGGCATGTAGGGCTGTCATAACAGCTCGTTGTTTGCGAACAGCTTGTGTTTGACTCGTCCGCTAAGTTAACGTGCCGAACACGAACGACGCGAATTAATATTTGTTCGTTCGTGTTCGGCTCATTTTGGCTCGAAATACTATTAATCAGGTATACATATACATACATATATATATATATATTTATATATATATATAATAGATAGATTTTTTATGAGTAGTACTTTTAAAAAAATTAATTGACTACAAAGCTACAAAGATTCATAATTAAAAGTGTTAATTAAGAAAATAGAATAAAAATTATTAAATTAGATTCAAATGATGTTTTATATATTGCCAAAATCTTTAATATCTTATGATTACGTGATTAGTGTTGTCAAAACGATTCTTTGTTCGTGAACGGCTCGTGTTCGGCTAGCTAAGAAAACGAGCCGAACACGAACACACTTTTTGAATTCGAAATTTAAACGAGCCGGACAGTAGCTGAGCCTGGGCTCACTCATGTTCGGCTTGTTTACACCCCTAGTGGCATGATGTAAATGTCCCAAAACAATGTACTTATATTACCCTTTGGCACCTTTCCCATTCACTCAATGAGAAATAGATCTTCAAAAACAAAATTATTCTTTGATTTCAATGTAGAACATTCATATTTAAATGTAAAAGATAACGTTTAGGTGTAAATGCTTTTTGAAAAAAATAATTGACCTAAAATAATAATTGGTTAGTAGAGTTGTGGCTGAGGCCTGTCCAAATTGCTATTAATTAGAATTTCTAATTAGTACTGGTGCACCAAAAACAATTAATTAAATAAAAAAATTAATGATTATTTTACGAAATCAAATGTTATCGTCTCTTTCATCCTAATCAACATTAAATATTTTAAACTTGAAAACAATTCAGTAATTAAAAGAGGCATTTGCATACATACCAATCAATTCATATGTGTTAGATATGTAAATACATAAGAATTGAGTGGTATGTATGTAAATCATCCTGTCTTTTTTTTTTTCTTAAAGATGTAGTTGTTTCTTAGATAAATTAAAGCGAGTGATATATTTGATGTGATTTAAATATTAGAGTGTATGATGCTATATACTACGATTGTATTTGAGATACGACGTTAACAAACAACTGGCAGATATGAAGTCTGAAAGTTATCGACGGGTCTTCAATACGACATTATTCGATACACTGTATTTATGATAATTCATTAGCAAGTAGAGCTTATTGACGACGACGAGCGGGAGTGGCCGGTGGTGGGCGATGTTCTACAGTGGTCAACATCTACAAAGACCAAAAGTTATCGTCGAATATTTGGTCCAGAATAACACTTGAATTTGACACCTACTCTAATCTCACTTGAAGTGTGAAGGTTTATTTATGGCCCTTGTGATAGGGGCATTTGATCTTTTGGTAAATAGCTCTCCTAACCACCAGATCAAACTGCCCATATTGACCCACATTGATTATAGGATGTTTTTAACGACTTGAGGATCTTAATGACCTCAGAATTAGGAGAGCATAGGCTCATTGGATTCCTCTCGTCAAGATGCTCAATTTTAATATATGTCAAATTTGGAGCTGATTTGGCCATTCAATTACAATTCAAATCCTCTAAAAGTGCTTTAATGACTTGATATGAGCTTAATTCGATTCATATCATTGAGTTTTCCAACCTTTTACTTAGAGGATTATTTTTTTTGTTTTAACCAATGTGGCACACATTTAAGCATAAAACATATACATTTTAAAAGTCTATTTGTGTATAAAGCTTGCTGGTAACATATTTAAGCTAATTTTAAGTTAAGGGTGTGTTTCTTTTGGTTTTGGCTGCATGTAATCTCATTTCAGAAGTTGTGGAAAATATGACATTAAAAGTTTGAGTTTCAGGAGCAGTTGGTTTGTTCGAAAATTTTAGCTTTAAAAGCGTTATCCTTGAATAAATTATCTAAATACCCCTATCTCAGGAACTGCAGGGAGGGGGCATGGTGCTGTCGCGAACCCTCTCCTTGTAGAAAAGGTTGCAGGTGCAGGGGCAATTGAAACCAATGCATGAGCGCCCCACGAACCCGGTGCCGGGGTGCCTGCATGGATAAAACTAGGAAATTCACTTTGTGAACACAGGAAATGGGTTGCCAATCGCGATCTTGAGATGCAAGAAATTTGCGTCGTGGGTTGTAACGCGATTCATGAAACGCCACATTCAAAAACACAAGTCAATGATGCGTTTTCAAAGGCAAGCCGATAAGCTGAAACAAATGTGCCCTAAATATTGTCAAATTAAAAAAAATGATAAATTTTAAAATTTGTCTTTAATAAATTCAATTTCTTTTTTATTTCTCAAATCTCATATTTACTAAATTATAGCAAATTTAGTAAATGGGGCTTTCGGTAGTAGTGTTAATTTACATACGCCGTACTCATGTAATTCTGGGTGCGTATGACTTCTAATAATCTCTCAATAATTAAATTATTAAAAATATTAATCTCAATAACATTTCAATAATCCCTAAATAATTTATTAATACATTCGATGCTTCGAGACTCATCTTTTTACTGTCATTCAAAAATTTTTCACGAGATGACCATCCAATTGCGTGCGAAGTACGTAAATATTTTTCTTTCGTTAAAGAAACACCAACTATAAAACCTTCCCGGCCTTCTTTTTCTCTCCATTCTAGCTAGAATGGCGCCGAAGCAGTGGATTCCGCTCGAAGCTAACCCCGATGTCATGAACCAGGTCTCTCCCACCCCTTTTTCGCCTCCTCTCTGTCGTTCGTTATCTTGTTTAGCTTCGTTTCGACTTCGGTTAACCAATCCGCTTCATCTAGTTTTTATTCTCATACTGGGCCTGTTTCCAATCGATGGGTTTAGGGTTTTTGGTTGAAAAGTGCGATTGTCATTCTTTGATTGAGTTGCGTTATTTGAAGCAATTGGCGGCCCTGACTTATTTTGTTTCCTTATGTAGTTCATCTGGGGTCTTGGCGTTCCAGAGATCGAAGCGGAGTTCAATGATGTGTACGGTTTGGATGACGAGATGCTTAAGTTGGTTCCGAAGCCTGTGCTTGCTGTGCTTTTCTGTTATCCTGACTCGCAGGTAGTTTAACCGATCAAAGGATCTTTGTTTTTGCTTGAATTCATCGGCGTTAGATGTCCTTATTGTTTGGCACCAATGTTAGATGTGTTCTTATCAGCTTTGGTTCTTTCCAGGAGAGGAGGGATGCGAGAGAGAAAATTTCAGGGAGTGCTGAAATGGGAGAGGTGAATTATTCTGTTGATTTGCTTCAGAGATTGAACTGTAAATAGTACTTTCTTTGTAGCTTTTTGCACATTCAGTTCGTTCATGGCTACAGTTCTCTTTATAAACATTCACAATTTATTTTTGAGTTCTTCCTCCCCTTTCCTGGTTTTCTCTGGGTTGTTTTTCTTGGACGAAGGTTGAAGTTTACTATGGTTTATCAAGCTTTGTACTCTTGTTTAGTTTTTATATTGAACAGGAGAATGATATATTGGCCATTTTAGTACTTTTTATTAGCTTATCTTTTGAGTCTTACCGTGCAAACCAAATTTGAGATTTTGGAAATATATGATACCGTTATGAAAACTAGTTTTATTAGGGCTGATGATGCAATCTTAATGGAGCAAAAATTCTTCATTGTTTATACTTTCCAATTTTATGTACACGTGAGAATTATGTGGAGTTGTATATTGCTTGTAGTAACAGGCTATGAAGGAGTTTACTGGGGCATTGTTGCATGTTGAAAACATTCTTAAGGAATTTGTGGGTGTCTGATAATCTTAACTCTGAAATTTACAAATGCACATATAGAGAAGTGAGAGCTTTTTTTTGGGTTGAAAATCCGGGTGTCCAAATGCTCAAATAGATAAGTGAGGCCGTCTTTGGTGGAAAATCCAAAATGTGTTCAAATGCACAAATACAGTAGTGTGAATTTTTTGTGGAAAATCAAAAGGGAAAAGTCATGAAGCCTAGCCCAGGTGAGAAATTTTATTATAAGTAAAGCTCAAGTATATGGTTTCATCCCCCTCCCAGAAGTTAGAGAGATGTCAACACAAGACTTACCTGTCAAAGTGACGAGTTTGAAAGCTGTCTTTAGGTGGTAGCGATCTTGATTGCGGTGACAAACTAGTTAGTTAGATCAACTGATGAGAAATACAAGCTTTTTTCCCAACAGAGGCGGTCAACCATATGTCAATGATAGTCTAGTGGTTTGTTGACAATGGAAGCCATCATTTTGCATGTGGAGGATCCTAGCTGATTGTTAGTGTACAAAAGAGGATGAACGAGGCTATGGGTTGTTGGTTGGCCAAATTGATTTCAAGTGTCTTGTAAAAGCAATTTTAATAGACGTACACATTATAAACCAATTATCTGTAGAGGTCCTTGGCCTCAAGGTTCTTATGCAAGTCCTAAATAAAATTTTTGTTTATTTTAATCTCAAATAACCTTATTTCTGAATACATAGAACAAAACTTGGTTCTCGAGCAATTAAATGTGTCATTATACTCATGATCTTTGTTATTTCTTATCCTAGGAAGAAATATTATTCACATATAATTTTCTTAAATTGTTTTTTTCTTATCCCTCGTCCTAGCAAGAAACTTTAATTCATAACATATCACTTATTCCCAGACCTAATTTATACCAAAAACTCTTTTTTATTTTAATTATAGGTTTACTTAAGAAGAAAGGCGTCTTAATCTACATAAATCAAATCAACCAAATCAATCACTATTGAAAATTGGAGCCTACATTCACAAAGACTTTCTCCCTCTTTACTTCCTTTTTCATTTCCATCTTATTAATTCGTTTGATCCCTACTTAATTCCATTCCATGATTTTGCATTTTTCCTGTTAGATGATGTCCTTGGATTAGATCGGTTTGGTGCATTTGTAATGACATACACCCAACCAATTCTCTCCATTGTTTATTAGAACGTTTACCAGCACTCTAACATTATCTTCTTAAATCATTTTTAAGTCTTTCTTTTCTAGTTTAACCTCATTTCCATATGAACATTCTTATTTTTGCCATACCTAGGATGAGAGTTGCGAGAGTATATTTATCCTGCAATTATTGGCAGAATGTTAAGAATCACACTCGCTAACCAATGTTGTAACTTCCAAAATCGTTAGAAAACTAAAGTGCCAATAAAAAACTCGGCTATCATACTTTTACATAAACGTTATTTATGCTGGCTTATTGCTAAATTACTAGTCTTTTATTCATATCTGCAGGTATTTCCTGAAAATGTGTATTTTCTCAAACAAACTGTTGGTAATGCTTGTGGGACCATGGGTGTCCTTCATGCCATTGGAAATGTGAAGTCCCAACTAAATCTGGGTACGAGCTTTTTTTCCCTTGTTCTTTTCCAGCCTTCGATTACGTGTTCTTTGGATCTTTGATTCTTTAACACTTGGCAGAATATTACATTGAGTAATTGTGGCCATTTCGCTTCTTTTTTTTTTTGGGCGGACTAGATGCTGTTAATTTTGACTTCATTGTTTAGAATTTGGTTAATACATGTGGATTTATCTATAGGCATGTGCTAATTTGAGTGCAAAATCAGACTCATCATTTACTGTTGTCCCATTAAATCATGATGGAAAAGTTAATGCTTCTATGATCAGTTTTTTCTGGGGAATAAATAATTTTTGGCTTAATAGATGTTGTTTCTCTTATTGATGCATTTAAAAGAAATGGAAAGGAAAATTTTTATAATGGTGAAAATATTATTGCATGTTATTTTTTTTGTAGATTTTGTATGAATAAATGGGGGCATGCTACTATTTTAGCAATATATTGTATATCGTTTTGCTTGATTCTGGTCTTCTATGCTTGAAACGCTTTGATTCCTAATGTATACAACATGGCTTAGTATAGCAGGTTTAAGATCTACACATAATTAAATTATGGTGATGTGGGGCTTTTATTGTTGGACTGAGTGGTTCAATTGAGGGACCAGTCCAGCAGGGAGGTTGGATCGGTTGGTTGCTATTGAGCAGAAAATACCGCCCCTTCCCCTCTTCCTCCTACCTATCTTATTATAAATACGTTGTTTATTATTTTAGGGTTTAGTTTTATGTATTCCTGATTTTCAGATTTCTGTCCAACTTGTCGTCGGCGGCTATTTTTCTTTTTAGGGCTTTATCCAACAACGAGAGGGTGCTCCAGATGCAACACATCTGAGTTGGTAATCTTCTCCAAAGGTTCTAGGGGTGCTCCGGCTGTAACTCGATCCTGTTGGGATAGTTACCCTTTCATATTCCCTAGTTTCGACCGCTGCCATTCAGATCCACGCATCAGCCCCTCCGCTCATGCCGTTCTCTTCTCCTACCGCCCTCCCTATAATCAAAACCCCCCTTACCTTCTTGCCTCGCATGCACCACCCTCTGTCCAACTTCTTTGTTGTAACTCATTAACTCCCCTTTCCTTCCTCACTATTGTTGTAACTCCACTTACCTTCCAACCGACCTCCATGAGCCCTTTCCCTTCTCTCCCTGCTGTCATAATCCATTCCAGCTTCCACCCTATTGCTGTAGCTCCTCCCCCATACCATCTGCTACCCTCACAACCCTTCCTACACGCCATCTAACAACCAACCCTTCTGCTGCTACCGTCTGACCGCAACAACCTTCCTGTTACTGTCACGAGCACGAGCACCTAGCCACTCATCCCACCTGTGGTCACCACTTTCACCCTTGCCCAATATGGCCATTTGTGTGTTTGTTGTCATTAATTTTTCTGTTTTGAAGAGTCTTCGTTGAACCCCTTTTTGAAATTCAAAAATAATATTTATATTTAGATTGTGGTTTGGATTAACTCTGGTATCATTTGGTACAGAGCTAGTTTAATCCTTGTCATATCGTAGAGTTTTTTAGCATCCATCGTATCCCTCCACCAAATTTTTTTTTCATATTCCCAAACTATAGTCAAACTTTGACCTAATATTATTTTCTTCTTGTTGGTTTTCAAAATTAGTAACCCTAAATCAATTTTTACACTCTTTTTCACCTCCTAATTTTAAACCCTTGTCATGCCACCAAGGAGATACATGCTCGAGCTTACCCGAAAAGAGATACAGCGAGAGATCTGTCGGTTTCAGCGGAGACTTGCTGGCAGTGAGGATAAAACTCAAGGGGAACATACCTTTGATGGTGGCAGGGAAAATCGAAGAGACGAAAGAGAAGTGAATTTCAACCCCTTTTATGGGGAGGATTTCAGTGATGATGAAGTAAGACCACGTTGCTTTGGAATCCAGTATCTGAGGAGACCAAGAGAGAACCCACATATAAAGGACACAGAGACTTCAGAATAGATGTGGATCTACTAGAATTTGATGGAGGTATGGATGCATATGATTTTATCAAATGACAACAATCAGTTGAGAGGATCTTTGAGTACAAAGAGGTGCTAGAAGATAAAATGGTGAAGCTTGTAGCTATCAAATTGAGAAAAAACGCCTTCTTATGGTGGGACAACTTGCAGAGACCAATGAAGAGAAGACAATTATAAGATTACCAAGTGGGAGAAGATGCGGAAGTTAATGCAAAGAAAATACATACCTTGTTGCTAGCTTCGAGATATATTTATCTGATTCCACCACCTACAACAGAGAGACCTATCAGTGGAAGAGTTCACGACACAGCTTAACCAGTTGCAAATGAAGATAGATTTGGTCGAGTCAGAGGAACACACTATAGCCCGTTATTCGAGGGGTTTGAAGCCCACTATTAGCAATGTGGTGCAACTGCAACTTTATTGGTCATTTAGAGATATCCAACCCTTAGCATTGAAAATGGAAATGCAGCAGAAACAGAACTGGCAACCACCACCACTCAGGAAGTTACCCACAGATGGTTGTATTATCATTATCGATGGAGGGAGCATTAAGAATATGGTGCTATATAAATGGTAGAAAAGGGTCTCATGACTCAGATGATTGTAGTATCATTATCGATGGAGGGAGCAAGAAAAATGTGGCTTCTCCATAAATGATAGAAAAGGGTCTTATGACTCAAAGACACTCTCAGCCATATTCTCTTACTTGGTTGAAGAAGGAGAACAAGATCAACATGGATCGGAGGTGCCTAGAGAAGTTTTTGATTGGAAGCCAACTATAAGATTAGGTGTGGTGCGACGTGGTACCCATGGATTTCTGTCACTTGTTGTTGGAGAGACCGTGACAATTTGATCGTAGAACTCAACACGAAGGATTCATAAACACCCACTTCTTCACCAAGGATGGGAAGCACGTTGTCTTCTCCCTTAGACGGGGCTCCAGATTATATGTGCACTTGCTAGCAGAACAATATCGGTGAGATCAATTTTGATGATGACAGAGGATGATACGGTTGAGGCGCCAACTCCAGACACTGGACAGACATGACAGAGAATTTCAAGATATCACGATTGATACCTTACCACTAGCGCCACCAATGTTTGGGAAGGTTTAACGTACCTTCACTTTAGATCAGGTTACGCCGAATGTGGATTACTTTGGGAGTATTCGTTAGCATAGGCAAGACACGCGGACTCAATCAAGTTCAGTATTAGACCCCAGGAGAACGGACCAGTATGGATGTATGCTTGCAAGTGGAGGAAAATCTTTAGGTGCTTTGGGAGATAGTACAACCGACAGTGGGATCCGGGTGTTGTTAGGACCACAGACGAAAAACTAGAACCTTTGACGCATGAAATCAAAGCTCCTCCAACTCCAGAAAACTAACACGGGGTTTTATGGCTGAAACAGTCGGTTCAACGAAGGGATCGGTCCAGCAAGGAGGCTGGACCGACTGGCTGCTTTTGAGTGGGATCAATTTTGATGATGAACAGAGGATGATACGACTAAGACGCCAGCTCCATGCACTAGACAGACATGACTAAATTTCAAGATATCACGATCAATACCTTACCACCAGCGCCACCAATGTTTGGGAAGATTTAACTTACCTTTACTTCAGATCAGGTTAAGCAGAATGTGGATTACTTTGGGAGTATTTGACAACATAGGCAAGACACGTGGACTTAATTCAGTTCAGTATTAGACCCCCCTAGGAGAACGGATCAGTATGGATGTATGCTCGCAAGTGGAGGAAAATCTTTAGGTGCTTTGGGAGATAGTAAAACCGAAAGTGGGATTCAGGTACTGTTAGGACTGCAGACGAAAAACTACAAGCTTCTATGCATGAAATCAAAGCTCCTCCAACTCCGGAAGACTAACACGGGGTTTTTATCGCTGAAACTGTCGATTCAACCAAGGGATCAGTCTAGTAGGGAGGCTGGACCGGCTGGCTACTCTTGAGCAGGAAATACCACCCTTGCCTTTCCCCCTCGATTTTTAAGGTTCAGTGTTGTGTCTTCCCGATTTTTCTGATTTATGTCGAACTTGTTGTCGATGGTTGTTTTCCCGTCTAGAGCTGTATTCAAAGGCGAGAAGGTACTCCGACTGTAAGTCGTCCGAGATGGTGATGTTCTCCAATGGTTCAAGGGGGGTTCTGGGTGTAACTCGATTCCGCAGAAAAAAAGTTATCCTTTCATATTCCCCCTCCTCCGGCGCCATCCAGATCTGCTCATCAACTCCTCTACTCTTGTCATTCCCTGCTCCTGCTGCCCTCCTGGTAATCAGAAGCCCCCCGTATCTTACTGCCTTGCCTGCACCACTCCCTATCCAACTTCTTTGTCGTAACTCATCAGCAACCCAACTTGTGACCCCTTTCCTTTTCCACTACCGTCGTAACTCCACTATACCACCAACCAACTGTCGTGAGCACTTTCCCTTCCCTCCCTGCTGTCATAACTCCCCCATACCATTTGCTACCCTCACAACCCCTCCTACACCCCACCTATTGCTGCACTTAACAAACAACCCTTTTGTTGCTACCGCCTGGCCACAACAACCTTCCTGTTACCGCCGCGAGCACCTAGTCTATCATCCCACCTAGGATCCTGCCGGTGGTTACCACTTTCGCCCTTTGCACAAGAGGGTCGTTTGTGTGTTTGTTGTCATTAATTTTCTATTTTTAAGAGTCTTCGTTGTTCCCCTTCTGAAATTCAGAAATAATATTTTCATTTAGATTGCGGTTTGGGTTAACTCTGATATCATATACTCTTCAAGGGGGCATATTTTTTATTAAATAGGCAGTTTTTTTCGGAAACACCACTTTATCGGAAAGATTTCCTAAATGCAAACACTTATTGACAGATTTATTATTATTATTATTATTATTATTTTGGAAATTTTGAAAGCTAAGTCACAAATTAATATTTTGTATGAAAAATACTCACATAACCAGCACGAGGAGATACATAGGAGTAGCATAATGAGAAGTAATAGCGAAGATACTATGACCGGCAACGATGATGACCGCAATGGAAAGCAAACAAAGGACAGAGCAATAAAATGATTTATTAGTTGATTTGGGTCGCGGGATGAACTTGCCTCTACCAAAAAAAATATATCCATCTGAACTCTTCATATCTAAAATAAAGATGCATACAATAACCTCAGTAGAGTAAGTATCAGTTTGGCTAGAAAGGTTGCTGTTACAAATAAGGTCAAAGAGGGCAAGATGAGTATTTCTCCAAGATTAGGATCCCGTTATTTAATTTTGAAATTGCAATGATTTCTAACTTTCTTTTGAGTTCCCAAATTTTTAGCGGTATTTTATCTATATGTAAGAGTTCATGCAAGATTTGTCGAGCTTTTTTTTTTCTTATGCAAGAGCTAAAGTAGAACACTTCACATGATGATGGACTGAATGTCTATATTAAGCAAAAAGTAGACCCAATTTGCCTCCACTTAAGATTTGCTTCTAGTATTCAGTTATGTTATTTAGGATGCAATTCCATGTTGAAATAATCAATTTTTTTGTCAATGAACTACAATATACTTTAAAAATTGTTGAGTTGCTTTAGGCCCAATAGTCTTGTTTGGATTTGCAGCAAAAATTCAGACATAAGGTTGGCACACTAGTTTGTTTAGTCTTGTTTGTGATTATTTCTCCCCATTCTTTAGCTCAATATTCTTGTTTTTACAGCATTTTTCATGGATTTATTGTTCTTTATTTTGATAGATGAGTGGTCAACTGTGTGTTAGTGTTTGTATTTTCTGTCCTTTTCATTACCATTTTTTATTTAGAAATTTGAGCCCATTATTTGAAAATTTTTTAGATGTAAATGCTTGAATTTTCTCCTTTTTGTTTAGTTGAAGGATCATTTTTCGACCGATTCTACAAGTCAACTGCCAACATGGATCCGTTCGAGGTTGCCTTTCTACCTGCTCTTATTTAACTCTTTTTTATGCAGGCTATCTTTTCATGCTTCACATTTACTCTACAGCGAGCCAAGTTCTTGGAGGAGAATAGAGAAATGGAAGATGCTCATTCTGTGGCGGCTATTGCTGGTGATACCGAGGTATGGATTTTTTGAGTGCTGTATGGATGTATTATTGCATGGTGGCTGTTTCAAGTTTTGGAATTGACATTTTATGTTGATAGTTTGTTTCTCTAAAGGTTCGATGAAGTTGACAAATAATATCATTTTGAAGTTTCTATTTGACTTTTCTGCACTTTTATGTCCACCAATGTCAACAATTAATGCAATGTTATTTTCATTTCAAAGGCTCATTTGATTAAGGGTAGAAATGAAAAATGTAAGTGAAGGCAAAAGCATATTCTAATAGCTTGTGATCTTTATATTCTGCATATAATAAATTACTTGATTAAGCTTCAACGTTTTGAAAGTTTATCGGGAAGCATTAAATATGAGCAAGTTGTTTGACTTGCTAATGAAGATAATCAACTAATTAGTTCTGAATGACTAATGTGTTGAACTGGGACTATTTTCAAGTTTTCTTAGTCTATTATGCATTATAGTTGAATTTTTATTTCTAAAATTTGTTTGGATAGGATTGTTTATCCTTTGTTAGATTTCAGTTATTCATATGAGTATGATTTTATATATTAATTTTTCAATGAATTGTTATAAATCATTCTTAGAGCTTTTTTGAGGTATGTCTCCACTTATGGATGCTTGAGAATTCATATATCTCTCTTCATGCTAGAGGGTTCAACAATTTTCCTTTAGGATTTGTTTGTTCTTCACATTTCCTTTAGGCACTTTATGTCAATTTGATATTAGAGGTGGTGTCCTTTTGTTTTGCTCATAATTTTTTTTTTCAAATTAAATCCTTCAAATTGATTTCTTGGCTTATCCTGAATTGCCAACGTGCATCAATCTTAAAATCCTTCTTATTGCCATTAATTCAATCTATAATTTACCATTTTTGTGTTGTTTCTCACTATTGCCACTTATTTCTTCAAAGTTGTAGCTACTCCTTCAATCTACTTAACTTATACTTGTGAATATCACATCAAAATTGGAATTTGATTTTGCTGTATAGGGTATCATTTTCATTATTAACTGAGTGTTTTATTTTGTTAATTAATTGTGTTGTCATGTATGGTTCCTTGCTTTAGGAAAATTCAACATATAATCAAGCTAGTAAGGACAATTATTTTCTAGTATGAGAGAATTATAGATTGATTATTGATTTGTGAACTCGTCCAGGCTTGATTGAAAAATTTTTTGAGCTATTTTGTGCTGAGTTGATTTCATATATCTAAATGAGAAAAATTGTCGTGTATGGTTGATGTTTGAAATCCTCTGTTAATTTTGTATTGCCTATAGGACTATTTTGTTAAATCTGTTGCATGCATTGATTGTGCTTGGTTTCACATTCATATCATGTTGAATTGGATGCGTTAAGATGTGGTAATGACATATGTTGAACAAAAGGAATAATAGGGTAAAAAGCATAAAAATGAGAATTATTATGAGTAAATAGAAATATGAAAATGTATAAGATAATTGTGATTGAGCATGTGTAAGGTAGACGAATTTTTTAGCCAAATGGGAGACCTTAAGCTTTAAATAAACTTATAAGTCTAGCGAAGGACGTCTCTTGTTGTCCCTTCCTTACCAAATGATCACCTCATACAAAATCACCACCTTCTGCTTACATCTTAAATGACTTAATCAGAGAAGAACCCAATAATGTTCATGTTATGACATATTGTCATCGGAATTGCATTGTTCCCTCAGCGTATTCAACCTTGGGTTGCTCGAGATGTCCTTCGAACACGTCTAGTTGTTCATCACCCTTGACCTAAGCACTTAGGAATCATGAAGACTATCTGGATCCCAAAGATAATCGGTGTTTTGGAGACCATAGATAACATCGGAGAAATTAAGAACTGTGGGGGTCTTTTTTAGGGCTATAGTTCTAATGCTGATGCTAATGATTTGTATCATTGGTATCATGAAAGAGATTATAGGGCTCACCGTGTTTGAAACCCTGATGAATCCAATGCGAGGAAGAAAAAGTCTAGGCCTCCCCTTTTGATGGTAGATATGCTCTGATTTTTTTTTTCTTAGATATCTAAATTGGAGCATCTTGTTGTTTTGTATTCCACAATGGCTCAAAAATGTGTTAAATATGTTAAAGATCAAATTTTTCTGTGTTTCAAAAAAGATATTGATCGGTGGTCTAGTGTGACAGATAATTTTACACAGTGATCTTGTTTGGCTTAATGTAAAAGCTAGCTTAATAGAAATTGTTGACTACTTTTGCAAGTCCATAATAATAGATCGATTGATTAATCCGAGACAAGATAACAGAGTTGTTAATAGTATTTAATTTGAATAATTGCATTTTGATTTGATGTGAAAGATGAGACATGGGTTTTGACATTTATATCTGTAGACGGCCCAAAGTTTGAAATTAAGGTTGAAGAAATTCTCTTTGAGCCAAAAACTATAACTGCTTATCTTAATGCTTTAGAATTGGAAATGAGACTATTCGTTTTAAAAACATCATCATTCAGTCTTTTAGCACTATGACATGGCCATCTGAGTTTATCAGTGAAATATTGTGCGTACCCTGATTCATCCCACATTTTGGAAATCCTGATAGAAATAATCATTTAACTATAATTTAATTTGTCTGCTATGGGTGTCAAGGAAAATAGAAGGTTATTTATTTTTCAAATGTCTTTAAAAAATTAGAACTTTTGTGAAAGATTGATGAAGTTTCAAGTAATAATAATGAAAATAATTAGGAATTTGAATATAATTAGCCTATTTCAATGATTCTTTGAGCACAAACACATAACAACAATTTAATATCTTAGATGGGTTATCATATATTTATAATATTTGTTGAAAATTGGAATAGACCAGCAAAATTTTATTGATAGAAGAGGGGATATTTAAACCCAATTGCAGTAGGCACAACAAAGGAAAGAAATAAAGAAGAATAAAATAATTAGGAAAGGAATAAAACATAATAAATCAAAAAAGGAAATACATAATCAGGGAATAACAGACAAGAAATAATAAGTATTAACGGTTAAGGATTTGATTGATGTTATGAATCTAATACTTCCCCTTAAGTTGAAGCATAGATGTTCAACTTGGATTTGAAGTCATCAAACAAAGGTCGAGGATGATTCTTGGTGACGATATCCGCTAGTTGGTCATTGGAGGGTACAAATGGCACATAAACTTCCCCGGACTCAATCTTTTCCTTAATAAAGCTTCTGTCAATCTCCACATATCTGGTAGGATCATGCTGAATTGGATTATGAGCAATGCTGATGGCGGCCTTATTATCACATAATAGTTGCAACGAGATGTTGGTTGACATACAAAATTCACAAAGCATGATGTGTAACCAGAGGGTTTCACAGATCTCCAAGGCATTGAACCGGAATTTAGCTTTAACATTGCTCCGAGCAACAACAGAATGTTTTTTTATTTTTTAATGTGATTAGATTTCCCCATACAAATGAGCAATACCCCTAGCTGGAACGTCGATCATGAGCCGACTCGACCCAATCAACATCTGTATAAACAACAATAGATCAAGAGATGCAACAAATGAAAAACAAACCTGAGCTCGGTGTATCTTTAAATAGTGAAGAATTCGATGGATAGCTTAGAGATGGTGATCATAGGGGGCATGCATGAATTGAATCACTGTATCAACTGTGAGACATGTCGTGGCTAGTAGGGGAGAGGTAGATAAGTTTCCTCACAAAGCGTTGGTATTGAAACTTGTTGACATGCAAAACATTGGGAGTGCCAGATAATTTTTCATTGGGATCCATAGACACAACAACTGGTTTGCACTAAAGAAGATTGTTCTCTTTCAAGAGGTCAATCACATATTTGCGCTGAGATAGACAAATGCCCCTAGATTATTGAGCCACTTCCATTCCTAAGAAGTACCAGAGAGATCTCAAATCTTTCATTTCAAAGGATATAGCAAGAATGTCTTTCAATGACTTTAATACTGGGAGATCATTACCTGTAAGAACAACATCGTTAACATAGACTATAAGAATAGCTATCTGGCCATTGGAGGAATGTCAGAATAAGTGAGTGTGATCCGATTGAGCTCGAGTAAAATCGTGGCCCACGACCATCTTTGTAAACTTATCAAACCAAGTCTTGGGGGGTTGTTTTAGCCCATAAAGAGACTTTCGCAGCTTGTGGCTCATAATCGTGGCCCCCATCGGTGTGAGAAGGTCATATCGGTGACCTAGGGGTTGTGAGTGTGAGAAGGTGGGCCATAGGTCACTGTCACACTCAGATGTAATAGGGGACCTTCTCGAGTAAAATCGTGGCCCACCGATAAAAAGTGATTCATGACTCATAGGTCATGAATCACTTTTTATCGGTGGGCCACGATTTTACTTGACAGTGACCTAGGGGTTGTGAGTGTGAGAAGGTCCCCATAGGTCACTGTCAACGAGGGAGAAAGGAGCGAAAAGAGTGTAATTGTGGGATGGGTAATGGATCTGATGATGTTTGACCAACTGACATGCCTCATAATTGAACTTAGAAGGGCTTTTATTAGAATTCATCTCTTTTTAAATATTGGAAACCAATGCAAAAACATAATGAGACGTTGAATGACTCGAGACAAGATACAACTCCTAAGAGGTGTGTCTGTATTTTCCATGTCTTTCTCTTGGAAGTAGTAGAATCTAGCTACCCTCTTAGCAAAACGATAATCGTGAAAAACACAACTATCAGAAGAGAAGTTAGCAAAACAATCAACATCATTTGTCAAATTTCTGTCAGATAATAAGTTACATTGCAACTGGGAAACTTGTAAATTAGGCTCCAGAGTTAGATCGGTTGTTAGTATATTGTTAGTATAATCCACCCTTTAGCAGTAATGGAACTACAAGAACCATTGAAAATTTTGATTGTATCTTCCAGAGCAAGGATAGTAAGTCGAGAAAGCTTGCGAACATTCAGTCATGTGATATGTGGCTCCTAAATCAATAATCCACGGACTAGAGAATGAATAAACTTTGAGAGCTATAGAAAGAGTACCTTGTCGA